CTTCCCACTGAGCAAGGCAAGTGATCTCACTCCTCACCTGGCCTCACATGCACAGTTTCCAAACTGATCCACACGTTTAACCTCGCCCGGCCCTCACAGCCCCGGCAGGACACTCAGGGTCGGTACTCACGAGTCAGGACGCTGGAACTCAGTGGGCTTTGGTGAGTCACTTGATGTCACAGAGTGATGTGGCAGAAAGGGACCAGTGCACAGGGCCTTTCCAGGCTTAGTGCAGAGCATTCCCATTAACAACCGTGTTGCTGAGATGGGTCCCCAGCTGCCCCCTGCATGACTGACTCTGGTTCTTTCTTACCCTGTCCTCTGCCTACGCTTGCAAGTGGTTATTATTATTATTTTTGTCCTTGTGCTCAACTATGTTGTTCCCTTGGTGCCTGGAACCAAACTGATTTAGAAAAATGAACCATGAGATTGCAGAGTGACCCTCCCTGCTGCGGTTACGCAGATGAATGCAGGTGTCTCACTGTCCCTGTTCAGGTTTGGAGTAAAGTGCACTGCAGGGTAGAAAAGTTAGCGGCTTCACCAGTAAGCATCTCGATGTTCTTTCCCCTCTCTCTTGTTCGTTTTTTGTTTTTTGTTAATGTACATCTACAGCTCTCTTTTCCTCTAATTTTGTAGATGAGAAAAATTGAGAAAAAGTCTTGCTAGGGAGTCAGCGAGGAAATTAACAGCAACATTGGGGCTTTAACTCACAGCCCCAATCCGTTAGTTTACTTCTCAGTCCTCGCGCAGCACAACTCAAGCGCATTGCCCATCAGAGAGTCTAACTGGTCTAGGATGGTGCCATATTAATGACGGTGCCACGGCTGGCTGGTGGCTGGGCATTTGTTCATTTTCTGTGGGATCCCTAGCTGTGCCTGGAACTGGGTGGGGTGCTGCCTACACCCTTCTGGAAGAGAAGGGGTCAAATCTATATGAAAGGCAGCGCCAGCTCACCCACCGCTTTGTTTGACACGGCCCCCTGGAGCATGACCCCACCCTTCTCTTTGAGTGTTCTGGAACTTGAAGATAGATCTCTTTGAAAAGCTAGGAACCCTGTGGTTTAGATTTGAACTCCAGACTCAGGAACTGGATCTTTGATCTGAAAAGATCGTCCAAAGTTGGAGAAGTTCAGGTATGACCAGTTGTCTGAGGGTGTCTGGATATGACCTGAGGTGGCCACATGGTGGGGTGGGGGCTATTTTTCTATGGTCGATAGATTTGGTCAGAGGCCAGAGAACATTCTAGGGCTTAAAACCCATCAGAGTCAGCTGGAAAGAGGGATGGTAGTAAGGCCCGTGTCCAGTTTCCTTTGACTGGACAAGGGCCATCCGGGTGGAGTAGCCTCATGAGCCTGTTCAACTTCGATGCATTCAGTTCTGCACAAGGGGAAGAGAAATGCACCCAAAGGCTCAAAGTCAGGCTGTTGAGGAGAGGTCTGCACCCCCACGTCCACTGCAGCTCTAGTCACAACAGCCAAGACATGGAATCAACCTAAGTGTCCATCAGTGGATGAATGGATAAGGAAAATGTGGTGTATGTACACAATGGGATTCTATTCAGCTTTAACAAAGAAGGAAGTTCTGTCATTTGTGACAACGTAGATGAACCTGGAGGACATTATGCTAAGTGACATGAGCCAGGCACAAAGACAAATACTGCATGATCTCACTTCTATGTGGAATCTGAAAAAGTCAGACTCACAGAAGCAGAGGGTGGAGTGACAGTCAGAGAGGCTGGGGCGGGGGAATGGCGAGATGATGGTCAAGGGTACGAAATCTCATTTAGACAGGATATATATATATAGAGAGAGAGAGACTCACAGAAGCAGAGGGTGGAGTGACAGTCAGAGAGGCTGGGGCGGGGGAATGGCGAGATGATATATATATAGAGAGAGAGAGAGGCGGGGGAATGGCGAGATGATGGTCAAGGGTACGAAATCTCATTTAGACAGGATATATATATATAGAGAGAGAGAGACACACACACATCTATTGCACAGGGTGGGGAGTACAGTTAATAGTATAGTATTGTACATTTCAGAATTGCTGAGAGTAAATTTCAAATGTCTTCACCATGGAAATATTAAGTATGTGAGGTGATTGATATGTTAACTAGCTTGATTTAATTACTGCATAATTTTCATCATTGTATACCCTGTACAATTGTAAATTGTCAATTTACAATAAGAAAAGATTTATAAAATCACAGTTTCAGCAGGGAAGTGACTCTGGCCAGTCTGTGCTCTCGAGCCAGGAGGACCCAGGAGGCCGGGGACCCCCACTCCTCAGCAGGCCTGTTGAGGCCCTCCGGGTTCTAACAGTGAGAAGGTCAGGTGAGCTGTGCTACGACCCCTGAGGGCACAGCAGCCACCTCGTCTCACGCTCACAGAAGCTTGTTTGTTCCAGTGCTGGGAGGACCCTGGCTGTGCGGGGCCAGCTCTGCCCATTCCGTGGGCCACACAGGGACACTGCAGAGGTGACTTCGTGCCTCAGACACTAACTTGAACCCCCGACTAAGAGCTAGCTCTGCTGCAACCAAACCAAATCCATGTAGAAGCCAGTTCCCACAGCCTCTGGAGAAACCTGAGCGAGATGTGTGGGTCTCAGAGTTTTATTTATTTTTTCCCAGAATTAAAAAAAATTGTGAGAAAATCCACACAAAATTTACCATTTTAACCATTTCTCAGTGTGCCGTTCAGCAGCATTAGCATATTCACACTGCTGTGCAACCCCCACTGCCGTCCATCTCTAGAACTTTCTCATCTTCCCACAATGAAACCCTGTCCCCATCAAACACCAACTCCCTGTCCCCTCCCCAGCCCCTGGCAGCCGCGTTCTACCCTCTGTCTCTGTGAATTCGACGACCACTGTTGGGGCCTCATGTCAGTGGAATCACACAGTGTTTGTCCTTTTGGGACTGACTTATTTCACTCAGCATAGTGTCCTCAAGGTTTTTTAAAAAATGAAATCCTTTCAGAAATGTTTAATGAACACGTGTGTCTGCTGATCCCTCGTGGAGCACGTTGGGAGCATGGCAGTGGCCGACGGGCACAGGCGCTGCTGCGCCGCTCAGGGAGGCGGGGCTGGGTCCCTCCTGCCCTTTCTCTTCTTCAAGCTCCACCAAGGGGACACCAGCGGCAGTGGTGACAGCACAGCCTGGCTTCTGCCACACTCTGGGGATGTAGTTACACATACTGTCTCACTGCGCCTTCCCACACTCTAGATGGTGGGTGTTATTTTTGTCTGATTTACTGATGAGGAAATCGACTCAGAGAAGTTAAGGACCTGCTGAGGACCTGCCAGCCCGTGAATGGACCACACCTGGGCCCACCAGAGCTCAGAGCCTCTGGGCCCAGCCCACCCTGGGTGGACAGGGGCTGTGGAGAGGCCACGGAAGTCGGAAAGTCACAACCTGGGCTGGAGACTGGTTCAAGCTGAACTCCCGCCCCTCACAGCCGGTGGCTTTCGGCAGTCACCTATGCTTCCTGACCTTCTGTCTCCTCACCTACAGGAAAAGGATAATGCCTCTTCCAAGGACTGGGAGAAGTAAATTAGACAACAAATAACGCGGCCTAAAACATCAACACCGCCGGCCAAATACAGGTAAGAGGTTCACCATTAAGTTTAAGTCCTCTCTGGCTGAGGCACAGAATGCAGAAACTGGCAAGGACCTCCCAGCTTTACACCCTCATTGAAGAGACTGAGACACTGGCCCTAGAACCTGCCAGGTGAGTTGGCTCTCAATGTGGGCTAATGCTGTCCCTGGCAAAGGCTCAACTATAGGACGTG